GGTAGTTATAAACTTACTAGACAAATGAATACCTTTAAGAAACATTCCAAGCAGTATATGAAGATTTTTCCTCGATCAAAACATGTGGTCAATCTCCGATTTTGAACTCATTGTCTTGAAAAATAGCCCATCTGATAGTATGCTCCAATGTAAAATATCCAGAAATCTATACCTTTTCCTGGATTAGCTGGAACTAATCTGCTATATGAAATCTCTTTGACACTCTAACACTGTGTTTTTTGGAGCGTATTGCTGCCTGTTGAGCTTTTGCTCGATATTTGGATAATGGTTCAAAACTAACTATATAAGAATTAGTACCATTACCAAGAGTGCAACAAGGTAGACACATACAACTTTGAAGGATTTTTTAATCTTGAAAACTAATAAATCTTACTTCAAAACCGGACAGGAATCTATTGAACTCCTTTGAACTCTGAAATCAAGTCTATTTTTGAAGCTTAAACAGTTTTAACATGATTGAAAGACCTCATCGCAATTAAATGAGCCTATCCTATGCAATACAGGAGCCAGAGATGGAACTGATATCGCTTACTAGTCTATCTTACTTATTTTCCTTCTTTTTTAATGTACACTTCTTCAAAATTTCTACTGATCCTAATTATATCTCGTAGAGTATGTATATTGAAATTTATTTGGAAAGTCATTCCATAAGTTACGGTTTCATCTCTGCCAGGTACCGTCACTAATGACAATTGATAGAGCTTAGTGCGCTCGAATTGGCATTGCTATTCTTGCTAGTATTCCAGCCGAATATACAGGTTAGTCAAGAATCGCCAAAAAACTAGACAATAAGCGGTTTTTTTTGCTAAACTTCTCTTATTCTGTCTCTTGGTTATTGATTATCTTCAATTGAACAGCTTATTTTTTTGCATTTTTTTATAGTTACTCTGTTTAGAAAATTTTCATATTTCTAATATCTGGAACTATTCAGCGCATTGCTTATAAGTAAATGCTTTGAAATATCAAACTGAAGTGCAAAGTCATGTTTAATATAGTTAGTAAATTGTCCTATTGACTCTGTTATATTTTTAGAGATAAAATGAACAATAGGACAACAAACGACACAAATAGCATTGAAAGTACTCTTTTAAACGTTTCCAATCAGCTGACCATCTACGGTGGCTTATTTCTGTTGCTCGTTGGTAATATAAATTGTGTCGCAAATATGGTCGTGTATCGATCACACGTGTTTCGGAAACGAGCTTGCTTCATCTACTTGTTTTGGGAATCAATTGCCAACTTCTTTTTTTTTAATTGTATACTTGTTACACGCGTGTTGCAATCCGGTTTTCAAATTTCTATTATGACTCGTTATGATGCGGTATGCAAAATTCGAGAGTTCATCTCAGAATATATGTTTCAGAGCGGCAACACACTCTTCGTATGTGCTACACTTGATCGACTTTTATCGGCACAGCGTTCAATTAGTAAGCACAAATAGTTACAATAACAATACTGTGGGACGAGCATTCGAACACTAGATGTGNTTGAAAACTTTTTTTTCCCATATATTATTTAACTATATTACAATTTTAAGAATCAAAACTAGATATAATCGGTTTCATCGGCATTTTTTTTGTCTTGTTCAAAAAAAAAATTGCTTTGTGGAAGGAGATAATTAGATGGATTTTTTTCACGTTCTTCTGTATGGCTACAAATTAATTTTCTAAATGCTCGTTCATCATTCAGAGTTTCTTACGTTACAAATAATAATTTTTCTCTATTCAAGACTACAATTGTATTTTATTTGATCAATATTTGATATAACTAAAGACTTATCATTTTTAAGTAAGAGAATATGTACTCTTTCATCTTCTGATAAATTAATATTTTCTTTCTCATATTAGTATTAATTATATTTTCAAAAGTATTTAACAAAATCTTTGTTTTTTACTAGATTTAGTTATTTCAATCAAGTAAGATATTTTTTTTTCAAACATAAAAATAAGTATTCTAAAACTTATTTTACATAGAATGCATTCGATTTATTACATCTTTTCTTTTCGATAAAATATTTTTTTCNTTTTCAGCCTGAGTTAAAGAATAATAAGAATAATTACATACTAATTTCTTGTTAAAATCATTAGAATCAAAGTAATTTTTTTAATAATTTCAATTTCTTTTTATGCCGTTCTTCCATAAACTTTATTTCATTAGAAATTTTGTTATCCAAATGAAATTATCACTCTATTCCACAATACAATCTTAGCGTTATTTGTCAATGTTAATTTCAAAATTTTAGTAGTTTTGTTCCATTTTTGTAGTCTCGCTTATGAGTTATATTCATCAAATAGTATTCATCCAACAAATTCTTTCTATTTCGATCTTTTCGTCTAAATTTTATTATAATGTTTAAATCTAATAAATCTTGGAGAAACATTATATGGCAGTTATACTGTAATTACTTTTATAGCTTGTTAAAAATGACATTGGTTTTAAAGTTAGTTTTTCAAATTATCTATATATTACTAAGAAACTTTCACCATATTTCTTAATGGTGGTAAGTAATGATTCATCAAGATTTTTATTCACTCGGTGGATATTTTAAATACGAGAAAAGAGAATAATAAGCATCAATAGAAGTATTTTTGTTTGAGATATTTTATGAGTATCTCAAATAAAAACGCTTCTATAAGCCATAGCACTTATTAATTATTAGTGTATTTTCATTTCCAACTACTTCAGAATTCTCCTCGTTCGTAGATTTTCTAGGCTTGCTTCAGTTTCTTGCCATAGATTCACATGAGCTATTGCGAAGTATTAGAATGTGTGAGTTTTTAGGGTACTTTTAACGTTTATACCTCGAGTAGTTTAGAATTCATGAACTGTGAACAATGCTGGTGGTTATAAACTTACTAGACAAATTAATGCCTTTAAGAAACATTCCATATAGAATATGAAAATTTTTCCTCGATTGAAAGATGTAGTCAATCTCCAATTTTGAACTCATTTGTCTTGAAAAATAGCTCATCTCATAGTATACTCCAATGTAAAATATCCGGAAATCTATACCTTTTTCTGGATTAGCTGGAACTGATCTTCTATATGGAATCTCTTTGACACTCTAACAATGTGTTTTTGGAGTGTATTGCTGCCTGTTGAGTTTTTCCTCACTATTTTGATCATGGTTCAAAAATGACTATATAAGAATTAGTACCATCACCAGGAGTGCAACAAGATAGACTCATACAATTTTGAAGGATTTTTTAATCTTCAAAACTAATAAATCTTACTTCATAACCGAGCAGGAATCTATTGAATATCTTTCAACTCTGAAATCAAGTCTGTTTTTGAAGCTTAAACAGTTTTAACATGATTAAAAGACCTCATCGTAGTTGAATGAGCCTATCCTATGCAAGCCAGGCACTAGCGATGGAACTAGTATCGCTTACTAGTCTATCTTATTTATTTTCGTTCTTTTTTTTTATGTATACTTCTTAAAAATTTCTACTAATCCTAATTATATCTCATAGAGTATGTATATTGAAACTTATTTGAAGGATCATCCCATAAATTACGGTTTCATCTCTGTCAGGCGCCGTCATCAATGAAAATCGATAGAGCTTAGTGCGCTCCAATTGACATGGCTATTCTTGCTAGTATTCCAGTCGAATATACATGTTAATCAAGAATCTTCAAAAAACTAGACAATAAGCGGTTTTTTTTTCTAAACCTCTCTTATTCTGTCTCTTGGTCATCGATTATCTTCAACTGAACAGCTTATGTTAGCTATACTAGAGTTATAGCCTTATTTTTTACCGTACTAATTTATATTGTTGAAAGTTGCCGCCGATATTTTTCAGCATTTTTTTAATAGTTACTCTGTTTAGAAATTTTTTTGATATTTCTAATATCTAAAACCATTCAGCGCGATGATTACAAGTAAATACTTTGAAATATCAAACTGACGTGCAAAGTCATTTTTAATATAGTTAGTGAACTGTCCTATTGACTCTGTTATATTTTTAGAGATAGAATGAACAATATCACAACAAACGACACAAATAGCATCGAAAGTACTCTTTCAAACGTTTCCAATCAGCTGACCATCTGCGGCGGCTTATTTCTGCTGCTTGCTGGTAATATAAATTGTGTCGCAAATATGGTCGTATGTCGAGCATACATGTTTCGAAAACGAGCTTGTTTCATCTACTTGTTTTGGGAATCAGTTGCCAACTTCTTTTTTTTGAATTGTATACTTGTTACACGTGTACTGCAATCTGGTTTCCAAATTCCTATTATGACTCGTTATGATGCGATCTGCAAAATTCGAGAATTCATCTCAGAGTATATGTTCCAGAGTGGCAACATGCTCTTCGTATGTGCTACACTTGATCGACTTTTATCGACACAGCGTTCAATCAGTAAGTACAAATAGTTACAATAGCAATACTGCGGGATGAACATTCGAACACAAGATGTGTGTACAGGTTTACGTTCAGTTTGCAAGTAAAAGAATTGGAAATGTAGTAAGATATCACCGTGCTCTAGTTTTCTCGCAATTCTCAGTCGAAAATAAAAATGGCATTTATTTTATGCATAGTTTCTACAGAGCATTGAAATGCAGAAATTTATTTCGATAATAATGCTAAAGTTCATGGAGCCACAGTAATAGTATGCGTAAGAAAATATCAGGTAACGTTTTTGTTTTATATAAAAGTTTTTTGAAGTGTTCGATGAACTATCAGCACAGCTTGGTAATAAATTAAAATAAAATATTTTGCTATGTTACAGCATATCGACAATGGAGCAACCGCGTTTCTCTTGCTTATAAACTAGTTCTGGCATGTGCAATCCTATGGGTATTGATCTTGGGTCATCGATTAGTATATTATACTAATTCAAGTGGATATTGTGCAGCTCAAGAAGGTAAATACGCTCTTTTCGATACTTATCTGGAGGCATTCCTGTCAGGAGTATGTTCGCCTCTTACTGTGATCGTACTCGCGTTTCTGCTTTTACAAAGTTTTCGAAGCATCATGAAACGACGTGTAACGCCCATTAATTTTGATTCAACAGAACCCAATAAAATTTTTTCGCATCTGCAACGAATCGACTCACAGCTGACATGTATGCTATTTCTGCAATCCCTCACTGCCGTTATTGCGTATATTCCTTATGGAGCTGCAGTTCTTTATTTCAACATCACTAGCAAGTGGACTAAATCAACAACACGACAGGCTTGGGAACAAGTAATTGCTAACATCATCCGTTTATGTTCTTATCTGTTTGCTGCGACTGGTTTTTATGTATCAATGGTTTCGAATCGTGGATTTCGCGAACAATTTATGCGTTCATTTGGAATAAAACGAGCCGTTCGTCCACCAAGTAGAATCAGAAATCATTGTTAGTCCGTTAATCATTAGTAATATTAAATAAAACTCAACGAATACCTTAAGAGTGGCATGTGGAGTCATACATTTACATCCTCTTCGTCTTTTAACAAAAGAGAAGTCATTTTGAATTATTCCTGTTATTCATAATGTACTGTTAATTCCGTCTTTTTTTCTCAATAAACCATTCGTTCTCTTTCATTTGTTCAGATATTGTATTTTTATTTAACTGGGGTGTGGGTAGATATTATTAATACCTTCCCACACCCACACCCACACTCCACATCCCATATCCGCACCCACACCCTTCGACATTTTCAAAATATTCAAACAAATTTAAGAACAAAAATTTCTATTGATAACAAATAAATTACTGAAAAATAATTTTCATTCTATATTTATTATGAAAATAATTTTTTGCTCTATCAATAACCTTAAGACTTTTTTCGTAATGGAACAAATTCTTTATTCTATAAAGGACGATCTTATTCTATTATAACATCTTAATGTTTGTACAGCTCTATAATAAACGACATAGAATATAGAAAAAATAGAGTTTCTTATTTTTGACTATTACTGAAAAATGACATCTATCTTTACTTCGAAACAAACTTCATTAAATAATCATTAAAAGAATTCTATTTATCAATAATTATTTTAATAATGAACATATTATATTTTGTCGTATCTAATTTCAATTAATTCATGATATGATCATCAATTATTCAATATATGACTTAACATTTAAGATCTACACTTATTGAAAACATATACTTCCCCTCTTTACAATATACTTTATACTAGCGAGAGCCCGTGCATACTGCACGATTGTTTGTTTTTCCTCTAGTATATGACGGCAGACGTTTAACTTTTCATCCTGTAACAGACATACAGATATTCGATATTATGTATACGGATAGGTAGTCTTACGGCCTCATACTCTTACATTGCACATACTTTTATAGTCCATTAGCCTTCGGCCTTATAGCCTTATATCCTTGGTAGCTCTTGTGGCATTATCCCATTATTGCCTTACCATCTTGTTGCCATACTCTCTTCAGGACTTATGAGTACCCCCATATGGTAGCCCTTGACAGTCTTACGGGTACCTCCCATAGGATAGCCCTTGAGGTCCTATGGATACCTCCATAGGATAGCTCTTGGACCTTCTCCTTATAGCCTTATTTGACCTTTGACCCGACACAGACACGAACACACTGAACATTATATAAATAGATGATGAGAGTCTATTATTCATAAATTCATATCGTCGTATACAGCCTTGCATATTGATAGAATACTTTCGGAAACTCAAATTTCAGTGGAAAATTTTCATTTTTGCTTCCATACAAAAATTAATGATACGAATATAATGTCAATTGGTAGCACACTTATTATAGTTCATAGATAATTTCAATCAAATTTGAGATTCTTTGTTGCTTTATACGAAACTTAGTTTATATTTATTTCAATTGAGTTCCTTTTCTCATCGTGACAACAGAACGAAGAAGTATTTTAAATTCCCACATATTTACAGCAAATAAGATTTATTGTTCATGAGGAAGGATTGATAACTAGTTTAATTCGTTTTCACATAAGTATATGCGAAAAGAATTCATTCAAAAATTCACTCTTATGAAGGATAAACCTCAAATGAAAGATGCAACTGTCCAATTCTACCTAATTTTGTCCATATGTGAGCTATTGTAAATCCTATTATTTTTGATTTTTTTCGATATAGCATTAAATTCAGACGAGTTATCTATCAGTTTTATCGTGCCTTCACAATTGTAGAACTGCCTCTTGATGTTTTACAAATCAAGAAGAATAAACTTGCTTTGCTTTTTTTTGTGTTTTTCTATTTCTTCCCCGTCTTTTCTATGTACTGCTAGTAATATACCAGATATTTATTAAATTTCTTAATAAATATCTCAAATGAATAATGAAATTTGAAAAGATATTTATTTCTTTAATGTTTAAAGAATGGCATTAAATTGTTAATTTTCGAATAATATTTTTCTATAGAGATATGACCTTGTCTCAAAAATATCATATAGAAAAACTTGTATGACGAAATAAAGTTCATCGAAAATGAAACTTTGTCTTATCAATTATATACAGATTATGATAAGTTTGTTCTACCGAACTCTGAAAATTTGTAAACTTTGATTAATAGATGGCTGATCACAGGGGTGCAGAATCTGCCGGTAAAATCAAAAATTTCCCCCGACGGTAAAATTTTTTCGAAAAATTTCCCCAGGTATGTGAGTGAATTAATTAACGAAGTTTTGGAATGAAAATACTTATTCAAAAACGCCACTAGCTATTTAATAAATTGCAAATTTACATTAAGAAAAAATACTAGTATTCAATATTCTATGTTTCAATCCGTGTTAAAAAAAAAGATTGATTTCAAACATCGATTAAAATCGGTTAAAACCATATGATTTTTAATCAATTATTCAAGAGTAATGGTCATGACAAAATCAAATTTTAAACGACTATTACGATTATGATAGATTTAGAATATTTCCAAAAATTGATAATAATCATAATAATCGAAACAATCGATTAAAATCTCGAAATAATTGATTAAAATTTGATTTTGCCATGACTAATACTGCTGAATTGTGGATTAATAATCGTATGATTTCAATCGATCTTTAATCGATTTGGACCTCTTTAAAGCCAATTTTTTTCTCATTTTTTATATGAAAAGTAATCTTGCTAATTTTACTTTCCGTAAACGATTGAAAACAGTTGACCTAGGGGAAACGAGTTTCCAAACTTGATATTGATCGCTTTTTTTGTAAAATAACCATTGTTAATCTTTTGTATGACTAAAATAATCATTGAGTCAACTCCCACAGATATAATTTGTTGAAAAATTGTAATCGTATATTTGTTTTTAAACTTCGAAATATCTGTGATTGAGCTTCATCTGTCTTGCATTCAATATGTTGAAAATCACCAAATAAAGATTTTATTGAACTTACTAAATGTTTTGGTGCTTGTTTCTTCCATGCACAGCGAGGAATCCATATGATCATATCTAACTGATAATTTGTTTCTAAATATTTTAATTTAAACAAAGCATTTGAATATGTAATGTTCTGACATAGTTGTTCGATCTCATCTTCTTGTGAATGTGATAGTGATGCTTTGTTATTTTTTCCTAATTGAATACTTTAAATTATATTACTAATTTTCGTAAGTTGTTGTGCCATGCATGTCAACTGATCTTGCATAGAATTCATTTAATTATAAATGTTCTGTGGGACCTGATGATGTGTTGATATTTAATTTTGAACTTGGAACCGATGAAATATCTAGAGTTGTTGTAGACAGCAGTGTGGCATTATTCATTGCGGATACTGGTAATATTGAGTTTGGTAGACATGCACTCTAAAAAAAATTCGGTATTTGTTACTATCGGAAACTCTTTTAGGGTTTCCGAGTCATTCGGAAACTTTTCTTGAGCGTTTCCGAGCCTTCGGAAACCCTAAAAGAGTTTCCGATAGTAACAAATACCGAATTTGTTTAGAGTGTGGAGATGACAAAATGACATTTGCTTGTTGTTGCTCTTCATATATATCAGAATCGTCATCATCATTGAACGTTGTTATGAATTCTTCATTTGCTTGTTTTCGAAAATGATATCTGATCAAGTTGTTTTATGAAATCTTCATCTTAAATCTTTCTTCAGGATGATATTTTTTCAAATGGTCTTTTGATTTATCTTTTCGTCCGATTCATTCACAATAAAAGCATGACACTTGTTGTTTACTTCGGTACATTTTTTTTTCAAATTATTTTTTTTTGAAGTGAGGTAGGTTCATATAATGCCCAAACTGATTTTTGAGGACACAGACAAAGACAGAAAAGAGTTCAATCTATACTACTGATTGAACAATAAACAATTTTATGACAGATTGTTTTACATGCATAATTAGATTATCACATAGCAGCCATTCTCCTTTTAATAACACTTTCATTGTGTTTATGAAAATAAATAATGGTTCTTTCCAAAGTTTAGTGAGAAGATAGAAAATGACCAATAAATGGCTGTACCAATATACAAACAGGTAAATCAAGGCTCATTTCGAAAATTTCCTCAGAAGGGAAAATATCCAAAATTTTTCTCAAATGCGATTACTAAACCTTCGAAAATTTCCCCAACTGCTAGAAATTTGAAAAATTTCCCCCGACGACCGTCGGCGCACACGGGTAGATTCTGCATCCCTGGCTGATCACTTCTTTTAGTTTTTGTTTGATGAAAAATCTCAAATTTTCGCTCTGGATAGCTGCATGAGCACATAACAATTGATAAGAACATTTTTTCAAAATGATTAAAAGCAATGAAAGCATGATGATATTCAAGAGAGGTACATCCACACGAACATCCTTAGTTTTTAATCCTCAAAATACAGGCTACCATGTTGATCGTACATTGGAATTTAATACTGAAAAATAAGAATCAGTTTAAAGTGCTTAATAGATAACATACGGTGTTAATCATACACACTTGAATTTGAAGCGAAAAGAAGGCAAGAATTATTAGTTTTTAATTCTTAGAATATAACTTACGATTATCGATCAATTGGAATTGTATCTAGAACACAAACCAAAAAAAAGGATTAATTTTTAATTCTTAAAACAGTTTACTTCGTTGATCATGCACATTTGAATCTGAAAGAAAACAAAAGGTAAAAGGTTCACTCTTTAATTATTGAAATGTAGGTAGTACTTTTTTGGCAACAGCATGCATACACATTGCTTAGGTGCCATATTAGTGACAATAACCTATCCACTAGTTCGCTGAAGTAGAAGTTTATCATCTCACTTGAAAGATTTTAATTCTATGAATTTTAGAAATAAGCTGCAATAATGTTTATCAGAAGCCTGAAGTGTTTTCATTGATATATAATTGATTAGATGTTGATATATTTAACAACTATCAAAGTATTCAAATGTTGCATAAAAACATTCCTTAGAATAGGATTCAATTGAAGTTATCA